TAGTGTAAATTCGTGCGAATAAATTCTTTACACATTTTAATGCAGAAAGTAAATAATAACACATATAGCAAAGCATTTAATTCTACTATTTTATTTCGATTTTGATTTATTAATGAGAGCCAATCAATATAATCCTTACGCATAATACTTTTTATTTACTTCTCCGGTTTATGTTTAATTCTCTGCGTTTATATTTTTAATTGAGACGACACTTTACTTATATCGCTTTTTTGCGATTTTAAAATTGCCTCTTAAACGTATGTTATCTTTCGACTATTGACATGTATCGACAATGGCATGTATTGGGATCCTAGAATGCCTTCATTAATTATTTGATATTTTAAAAACCAACCCGCTTAGAGTAATCTAAAATTTGAATATAGCATTATTTTCCAAATAATGATTTTGGATTACATTTTTATTATATCATCCATAAAAATTGATTGCATTAGTAAGATAAACTAACATATTTTAGATATACAGCAATTATCTACAAAGTTGTCAGCAACAAAAAAAACAAAATTATTGCATATATCTTATAGATTGGCATACTTTAATTTACTGCAGTTCCTTGTTGACATTGATAACCATCACTAAAAAAAAATTAGACCTTGGAATGTAAGTTAAGGAAAAAAAAGCAAGTTAACGAAATTTGTGAGAGATATAGAAGAGAGGGGGAGTGCGGGTAGTGTTTTAAATCTACTCCTCCATGAGTAGCCATGTAATTTAGTAGGTGACATATATTTATATTTGATGATATTAGATTTATTTTGTGTATTATGCTTGTTACTGTTTATTTGTTCTTTTAAAAATAATTACATATTTTCTTCCAAACATTTTTAAGATTTCATCTATTTTTTTTGTACCTAAAGATAATTTTATTATTTAAATTAATTACTTTAAATAAATTTATATATTAGGTTGAGAATTTTTACTTTGGTGTTCTTTATTATTAACGCTAAATCGTATTTCGGAATCGGTATTTTAGAAAGGCGTTGACAGAGTCTATACGTTCACCACTATTTCAAGACAAGAAAGTTGTTAATAAACTAATTAATATAATATTTATATATCTGTACAGAAAGGCTGATATTTTCGCATATCGCTTTTGCTTGCTAACAAACAACTTTTCTTTTAAATACCTATTTTTTTAATTATATTATTTCATTAAATTTGTTTCATTTTTATTTTGTGTTTTTAATGTTGTTAGTTAGCATTTATTAAGACAAAATTGTTACAACTTGTACTTGTAAGCCTAACATATATTAAAAAAAAGACACATTCTATGCCCTATGTCGGACTCAATAATTTTAGTATATGATGTAAATGGTTTTTTTTAATGAATTTGCAAGTTCAATGAAATTTTGACAATGTGGCCATGTAATTAACTTTATTTATTCTAAAAAGAGAATAGATTATGTATTCTATAAACATGAGCTATTTATATTTCATGTTGAATTCATGCTTAAATTTTCACAGTTTTAAATTAATTATTACCTTTTCATGCAAATACTCGTACATATACATATATGACATCCAATGTTAATGAAAATAGTGTATGAAAGAACATCAGACAGACGGTTGTTTAGTGCCAACTGTTTTGTCATGTCATTGTCACCATTGACAACAACAATAACTGCAACAACAACAACAATTCAATGTCATGCAAAGCGAAAAAATAGTAAATGAATTAAGGTGTGACTAAGCTTTTAGCAATTTCAGTTATTTTCTTCATACATAATTTTACTTTTTACAATTTATTTTCATCAGTTTTTTTGCTTTTATGCTTTTTTTATGTTATCTTAAACGCCATATTGCAAAACTTTATCTTGAATTTGAAAGCGTTAAAAAATAAAAAAGCAAAAAAAAACGAAATTTTTTTTTTTTGTATTTCAAGCGCCTCTCACATTTTGAACGAAACACGTAAGCTTGAAATTGTTTAACCATATTTTTATTTTTTTCTTTTTTTTGTTGTTTTTTTAACTTGTCCAACATAAATTCATTAGTAACGAGGTTAATCCGAATTTGGAGATTTTGTATTCTGGCTGTGCTGTGCTGTGCTGTGCAGTGCAGTATGTTGGCATATTTTGTTATTCTTTCTCTAAAATATTTCAAGCGATTTCAGATTTTGCGCTCAACGTTTTTTCATTATAATTTCTTTTATATACATATGTGGTGTTGTTTTATTTTACCCAATTTTGGAATTTGACTTTCATGACTCTTCCTTTGTTATCTTTCTATTCAGTTTCTCTTAATATTGCTCGGGTTGTGGTTATTCCCTCTTTCATATTTAATTTTAGCTTTTATCTGCTACTATTTTTATGATTTCGCTTATGTTTGTCGGTGACGTAAGCCTGAGTTCATACAATTTTTATATCGTAAAATTTTTGGATTATGGATTAAAAAACAACAACGAGAAATGTACAGAACAAAGCAAAAACAAAAATGCCCAAATGTAACTGAAAATGGGGGAAAATATCGCATAAAATAGCATACAATCGTATCCAAATTTGAAAAAACTTCGCCGCGCTCTACTCGCTGCTCCCTCTTTAAATGCTTTCTGTTCCCTGTTTGTTCGTAAAACTAAAACAATTATAAATTTTTACAACTAGAGTGTTAAAAGTGTTAAAATTCTATTAAAAGTTTTATTAAGAAAACTATAAGTTTTTATATAAGTTTTGTTTTATTTATGTTATCGTTATTATTCTTATCGTTGTTGCTGAGGGCGTTTGACTTCTAAGAAATGAAGTACTTCTGTGCTGATGTCATAAATTTTGAATATCCTGACATTTTTTTGTATTCTTAGTGAAGGCAGGCAGGCAGGCAGGCGGGCGGTCAGGTAGTGTTTATGGAGTCAAAAGTATCTGCTTATCTGTCTGCACAGTATTTTGTAAGCTAATTGTATGAAATGGAAACTAGATGGAGGTATTTGCAATGTTAATGACATTTGAAATATTGATGTATATATTTATAAATATTATAAAGTAAATATTCACTTAAATCAATTAATAACATTCTAAGACCTTGTATAAGGTCTTATCCAGAAAACAAACCAAGTAGAATATTAGAATATAATTTATCCTCACCATATAGTCATCTTCATTTCTCCGTAAAAAATAAATAAATTCAAGTGTGCTTTAACTGCTTTTGACACATGGGTGTAATCAAATCTATTGAGGTCATTTATTAGTATTTGAACTACTTTCAAGTATTTTTGTGTTTACTGATTTTTTATTGCAACAAAATATATGTTATATTATTAAAGAAAATTCTCAGTGAAAAAAGTTGTTATTCTTATGTTGGTCACACTATCTGTATGTGTTGTATAAGTTTTTACTTTGATAAAACTTAAATTAGCTAGATGTTTTTTTACTTTTTCTTCTCATAGAATTGTAATAAATTCCTTCCAATTTCTATATTTCATTATTGGTCTATTCCTGTTATAGAGCTTATCATAATAATCGTCAGTTGATTACTACTGTTAAGAGTATATAGCACAATATTCTATACATATTCATTAAAACTGCGCCAAATCGTTCATTTGTTCCACTGGTTTCAAAATTACAAATGGTATAATGACTGATCAATTTGAACAAAATCCCATTCATCCCTTAATCCATTCTCAGTCATAAATAATACCAATACATGCACATTCCAATCCATGTGTTCGTCTTGTAATTCCTTTCGTGTTATGTGCTTTAACGATAATATTAGCAAATTTTTTTCTATGGTAGAAACCCTAGAAGTACCCTGTAAGCTGAGCAACTTTAATAGTTGCTCCTTAATAGCAAGATTTAAATAATTTGAAATATTCCTTTACAGATATTATGCTTTTAACTGGATAAGAAAGATAAATATTCATGTACTTAAGCAATGTTTAATGAGTGTAGGTAGATGATAATACTATAAATATTTTTGTTATAATTATTTCTGTTATGGTGATTTTTTTAATTAAAGAACATTAATTTCGATAATTAATATTAAAAGATTTTACTAGTTTATCTGCAAAAATGACCGACAGATCACTTTTATATTGTAAAAGAGTTCAACATCGACCAAAATTGTTGAACTAATTAAAGTGAGTCGAAAATAAGCAGAATTTGTAATATAAAAAATACTACTTTCTGTTTTATTTTCTAAAGCAAACAAAGTTCTTCAATCTTTGTTTAGACTTTTCCATTTCTGAAGCTTTATTCAGAAATTTATTTACATAAGGTAATAAACACATTTCTTTGTCGTTGTTTAATATATGTTTTTCCACCGTTTTGTTTTCATCTTTCCTTAATTTATGTTATATTGTTTCAACTAAACTGCACTAGCAAATCTCTAAAGAATTGTATGAATCGTACGAATAATGTTCTTAAACAATATACCAATATTATTTTTAAGTTTCAAACAAAAAGTTTGTATTATTCCATTTGAACTTCTATCATCTTCAATCTACTGAAGTTGCGTTCTTATGTTATGTTTTTATTAATATATGGGTATTCAGTTTTCACGTTTTTTGTTTTTCTTGGTAATTTGGTGTAATAGACTATCAGATTAACAGATATGTATATAGTAAATTGCAGAAAAGTTTATGCTATGTATAGAAAATCAGTCATCTTCAGCTAAATATTAAGTAGAAAATGTTTGCATATGTTAGAACATAAGGACAAAAGAACACAAGAATATTGCTTATATTTTCAGCTACTGGATTTGAATTGACGAAACGATGATGTGAAATTATATCTCCATTTACTTAATGGAAATTATAAAGAGAGCATACCTAACATATTGTAGTTAAAGCATAAATTATTGATTTAAGTTATAGTTGAAATATTGGGCTTCCATTTTGTTTAGTTTAGAATAGCTGGTTTAGAAATATAATATAGTACCTGTGGAGCAATTACTTAATATTAAGTAAATATATCTTCGAGTATTTCATAATTTTTAGTAATTTAAGTTATTATTATTGAAACAAATACTTTATACAAATTTTTGCACTGATAAAATTTTAGGCCGAATCTGAAGTTGCTGCATTAAACCGTCGCATTCAATTGCTCGAAGAAGACCTAGAGCGTTCAGAAGAACGTCTTGGATCAGCCACAGCTAAGCTCTCCGAAGCTTCCCAAGCTGCTGATGAAAGTGAACGGTTAGTATTACTTCAATTGCGAATTGTACTGAAGTATTTTTCTTTTGATTTTCATTATATTATGTATTTGAACTTATTTATATTTAATTAATTTTTATATAATTAATTTCTTTAGTCTTTTTTTGATATGAAATTTTATAAGTATTTATTTAAAGAAACAAAAATTTGGTTTGTTAAAAAATGATGATAAAATCGAGTGTTATGATAATGCGCGAAATGTATTTATGTTAATTGATATTTAATGCAGGATACGAAAAGCGCTTGAAAATCGCACAAATATGGAAGATGACAGGGTAGCTATTTTGGAAGCCCAATTAGCACAAGCAAAATTAATTGCAGAAGAAGCTGATAAAAAATATGAAGAGGTATACAAAATTCGAGCTCAATATTCTTTGATATTAAAAAAATGCAGGGTATTAGGGAAATAGGCATGATTTTAGAGATTTCTTGGTATATTTTATTTCGCTTAATTTGTTTTTTTTTATTTAAAAAAGTTTTAGTTAATTGTGGGTAATGCTCTCTTTTCGACGGTTCTGTAAGACATTTTTTTATTGCTCCACGTGAATTTTTTATAATATACAATTTATTATTGTAAGTCATTATAGTTTAGTAAATAGTATTTTATGAATATAATTGTATTTAGTAATAATTATTATATAAGTATATCTACACACAAGTATCTATATGTAAACTATGTGTAAATGATGTAGTTTTAAGTTACGTATATTTCACTTTTAAATGTTTTTATATGATAAACGCAATACGCATATTTTTTTGGTAAAAGATTTTTAAATTTACATTTTTTAAAAATTGAAAGTACTTAATACATTTTCATATAGTTATGAATTAAATTTACCTAATCGTTAAACATTCATGAATCTAAAACAAATGCTATTGATGATATTATTGTTGCACTTTCAACAATAGCACTCTCATGAATCTTTAATATATAACAAATGGATACACCCATTACAAAATAAAATATTGTGTTTTATTACAATTAGTCCAAATACACCGAGATTTAAAAGAATAATCATATAACTTAATAAATTCTAAGATTTTTGTATTTAAAATGTTTTATGAAATAATGTAAATAAATGTTACAGCATATATTAAATACATGAGTAGTATGTATTTAATATATGCTACATTCTACTACTCCAATCGAACTTAAATACAATGTACAATATCTATTTCTATCAAACAAATATATAGGTATCTAAGTAAATGACTACTTTAACGTAAAGCCCTTTGACATCTATCTTAAGCAAACTTATCTATTAATACACTGCATAATTAAAAAACAAACGTTTTTCAGCGCAATGATATATCAAACGCTAGAATATAAATAATAGACTTACTGGTCTATTGTGGATCATCTTTCTGGACATAGCCGTCCTAACCAAACCTTATGTGACCTATCACACTTTACCTAAAATCCATTATATATCTCAAACTTCAGTAGTATATAATTTCGCCATAAAAAATAATTCATTATGCATGACTAGATTATTTACCAAACATATTATAAGCGCATAATATTGTGGAGGTGTTTTTCAAAATATTTACATATTCTTTAGTTTAGGGTATTAAGAAAAGTTACTGATATAAATTTGATAAATTTTTTAATATGTATATACAATTTTAACCCAACTTCATAGATTTTTTACTATCTCATTTAAATTTTATTTCTAATACAAATAAATTGCATAATGTTTTAAACAAGATAGCAATAAAAAAATTTTTCTTATAGTTATACACCTAACATTTAGCATAGTAATGTTTTAAGTACTTTAAATTACTATTAAAAAATATGCGTATAAATTTTTTTTAAATTAAAATGATTAATAACAAAAAAATGACATAACAACAAACAAAACAATTTCTCGTTTTTTCACAAAATCTTATCAACTGTCAACAATTGGGATTTAAAAAAACTAAACAACACATTTTGTTAATATGCTAATGAATAAATGTTGATTATTACAACCCCTTGTGTGTGTAATATCTATAACATGTCAAATTTCAACGATATTGTCGAACATAACAAATAAACAAATAATTAATCAACCAACCAATCACTGATGATGCTGATGAAAACGATGGAACAACATAAAACTCATCTCCTGCTTCTTGACATGTCTTCTATGGGCAAACACATAACATATATAGTGCACGCAAGATTCTTGAGAATCGCGCCCTCTCTGATGAAGAACGTATGGACGCCCTTGAGAATCAATTGAAGGAAGCACGTTTCCTTGCTGAGGAGGCTGACAAGAAATACGATGAGGTGCAACAATTAAATAATTTAGCAATTAAGTCTATCGCTGAATCTGCTTCATCCTTTGAAAACACCACAAAAGCAAATATTAATATTAATCCCACTAACAATGCAGATGATCACACTCAAAGAACAAATGCCACTAAAACCGAAGTAATTGAAACAGCTAATAACACAGTTACTAACATTATGCAAAATGCAACTGTTGGAACAATAGAAATTACAAATGACACTTCTACAACAACATCAAATCCAACTCTAATAACTTGATTCTATCTTAACGCATACCAATATCAATATTGTCTTACCATCCATATTAACACGCACTTTTGCCCTAGGCTTGCATTGATTAAATTAATCTATGGGATATGCTCATGATAATAATGTACATATGATATATATGTTAATTAGTCAAATGAGAAAAAATATGCAATGTATGTAAAAAATAAGCGTTGATGCTTAAAAAACTGATATATGAAATTATATGAAATTGGTGAATTTCTAGAGTCTTTAGAAATACCTATATAAAATTGTTGAAACAATATCAAAAAGTTATTAAGTAAAACTTGTGCTGCTATTGCTATAGTTAGATTAATAAATATACATATATTTAAGATATTTACACTAACAGGTCAAGTTGATTGTATAAATACTTGTAAAATATAAGTGAAGCTATATACCATATAGCTATAAAAAGTATATCTGTTAATATAATGTATAATGTATAATGTATACCGCACTATATAAGTTTCCAATAACCAGTACTTTTATAAATTTTTAAGAGTTTTTCTTTTGAATGTAGGATAGATAATATATCTAATAAATTCATATAAAATATAAAAAATAATGAAATGCGATGTAAGCAATTTTTGAAAGAACAAACTTTATTCAAATGAAATTTTGCAGCGTTTAAAACGTCATAAACTTGTTATTGAGCCTTAAAACTTATAAACAAATAAGTAATAAGTAAAAATTTTTTTTAATATTTAACGTTAACATTTAATACAGTAACAATATTTAAATAAAAGTCAATTATAACAGCAATATTTATCGTTAATAAATATTTTTGTATTAACTATATTTGGGTCGATTGCTGTTTGGCCAGTTGAAACCAATTTCATTTTCTATATTTTGTTTAATTCAAAATAATTTATCATCTTGCAAATGATTTTTAGATACAAATCAATTTTTCATATTTATTTTTATTATAAAAAAGCAACTAACATATAATTTTGATTTTTTTTTAATTAAAAATTAAATAGTTAATTATTTAAAAGTTTTGTAAAATGTAAAATGTGAAATGTTTTTATAATTTTCTTATAAACATATTTTTTATGGTATAAAAGAAATATTTCAAATAAAGTTTAAATATATATCCAAAGCAAGAACATTAAAAAAAAAGTCTTTTTAAATAAATACTATGGAGCAACTGGAGCATTTATTAGCTTAAGGAAACAGAAATGAATTTGTTTTTAAAATAATTTGTCCATGTAAAAAATAGAAATTCATATAAAGGATTAAATAAGGAAGAACGCCATTATGGTGTTACTCATTTAATAGTGAATTCAAATGATTTGAAAAAGAATGTATATTCAAATGTTTAGATATGCACAATATGCTTTCTCGTTAATATTTAAACATGACAAGAATTATAGAAAGTATATCCATCCATAACATGATTTATTAGAGTTGTTGGTTATAAATTTTTCCAACAAAAATAATTTATTCGTGTAAAGTCATAACGTTTGATTTGAGCCCTTGATATGAGTCTATTAAAAATAATAACTGGTAGCGATTATTATTATTAATTCTTTCGTTATCCTTTGTAATATTGTTAACTTTATAATAAATACATCTAAGAGAATACTATATAATTGCAGGTTTTCCTAAATGACACATATTATACTTATCTGCATTCCGTTGTAACTAAGGCTTTGAACCGGATATTTTTTAATTCCGATATAATTAGTAAAAAAAATATATTGATTTGGTCTCGGTTTTCGCTACGGCAAAATTATCGGTTTTTGGTTCACTTCCGAACGAATGTTTTTTTTATATAATTTAATGTAGAAGTTAATTTTCTTTTAAAGATTAAATACTTTTTTATATGTTTAAGAAAGCATAATTAACTTATTTGTTAAACAACAAAAAATTTTTTGTATATAAAACAAATAAAAAATATTTTTTAATATTTTACTGTGGTTGATTAAAGTTTGAACATAGCAAGTACTGAACGTACAATGTTAAATGAATATATCGAAATATTTTGCGGTTCTTCAGTGTTCGGTTAAATTCTGGTTCGAAGCCCCGGTATAGTCAAAATTATGGCGAGACGAACAAGCATATAATTATATATGACACTTATGGTTAATTTATAGTTGTTAGGCTAGATACAGAAAATTGAAAATGTCGGCACTCATCCCACCCTTAAGAATGAAGATATCTTATATAGTTATCGTGTCATAGATACCTTTTAAAATTATCAAGTCGAAAATTGTTACAAGGAAATTATCCTATTACGAGTTTATTTCATTAGATCATAGAAATACAAATTAAACCTGTTTAATTAAAAAAGTGTGTGGTGAAAAGAAATACAATACAGTCCACACTAAAAGTATTTTGTAATGGCTTCTAGTAAAGTTTTATTGATAAGGCCGAGACTATATCAATGAACGAAGCTTCGTTTGATAAAAACCTCAAAGACGTAAAGAAAAGCAAAAGAAATCTACTTATAAACTTATCATTTTGTTATTTTAGCCCATTTAAAAGTTAAACTTTCGCGGACGTCATTTTGTCATAGATTTGCTATATATTTATGATGAGCTTTTAGCGTCATATGTACATAAATTTTTATAAATAAAAAAAATCAATTTAAATTATCGTAAAGTCGACAACTTACGAGTATTTCAAGTAAATTGAAAAGCAAGAAAAATTTATTTTTTTATTTATAATGCGACTTCTTATCTTATGTTTACCCAAAAGCAATATAGATACTCGTAAAAGTTGACAAATACTTCTTCTTTTCCCTGTAAAGTTTTCAATATTCAACTAACTGAATACTGAATTCAGTGTTTTCACCATTTCACAAAAATTTAGTGAGTTGATTTACTCAGAAAAGATATTACTATAAACATTAAACATTTTTAAATTTACTTCTGTGATTCATTTAAATTATTTTAAAAATATTTTTAAATATTGAATTACTTATAATTTGGTGAAGTGATTCATAAGTTAATGAGAAAGATTTCACCTTTATGTTATGTAAATGAAATGCCTTTGAAGAATGAGTTTGACAGTTAACTTTCCTATAAATTTTTTGTCTCTTTGATGTGTAAATTAACAAAATTGAAACTTGCAGTTTCATTAAAAATTATATCAATAAAGCTCTTATTTATAAAATTTCAACTTTAACAAATTGAATCATTTCTGTCTCTAACCACGTTTTAAATACTTAAATTAATAGAAATAAAGCATTTTTAGAAAATAAATTCCTTAGAACAAATATTTATCACTTCGATTTTCATGATATGTTGGTACAACATACAACCTGTTCAGTATATTTATACAAAAAAATGCTTTAATTATATTTAATATAAATATATTGAAAAAAATCCAATTAATTTAAGTATCATCTAAGAGACATTATTTTACTCAGGCGAAGATTTATTGAAATTTTTAATTTTTTAAGGATAAGCGTTTATTTTTTTTTTACTTCTTGGCCAGGCTAATATTGCCGCTTTGCAAATTGGTTTTATATCACATATTTCCTTTGGGTGCTTGTTTAAAATATTTATAAAGTTAATGGTATACCTGTTTATATCATTTTGTCTGCTTGTTTCAATTTTGTAGTGGCATTTATAACCGCTCGCCTAACCACTACTACATCAATCAAAAAATTTATCACTCATATAATCAATTATAATGCAAAATAAATTTTAATACAGATGTTTATTTGCTAGATATATATGACTTAAATTTATCCTATAAGAAAATTTATCAAGATGTTATAGGAGTCATAACTTATCCCCTTCAACACACATCTCAACATCACACATTTTTCTGGATGAAAAGGCTGTGCTTATTTCATAATTTTCGACAATAAAGTAGTTATATGAAACAAGTCCATTAAATTGTTTTCTCGATTTGCAGCGTACATATCCATATGAAACTGCTACATAAAGTTTTACCGCATAGAGAAAATAAGCAAGCATATTAAATGATGTGACGCAAATTGCAGTGCAAATGCATAACACTATTGTCCTCTGGCGTCTGAGATCGTGTTTCCTTCAGCAGTCTTCTATATGTAACAAGTTAATTACAGTGGATTACCAATAAAGTTGACATCATAATTTTTTTTCATCACATTTAATATTTTGCTCTAAGATTGAGATTTGGTTTATTATTTTTGATTGATTGTTATAAAGAAATCTGGAGATAATATAAACTTTACCTACACCTAGGGACTTCAACATTCCAAAAGTGTAAATTATTTTTTGTTGTTGTATGGAATATTGGATACAAATTTGGAATTCTATGCAATATTCCATATTGTACTGAAAATAGATATTTAAAAATGCTTTTACTTTTGGATCAAGAAACCAGTGAGTCGTATAATGTTATATTAAAATAAAAATACTAAGAAAAATAAAAAAAAATAGTTGTTGAAATTTAATCTGCTATTATATAGTGTTTTATTGGTCGAATTTTTTACATTTTACATTTTTACATTATTAGAAGATTAACAAAAAAATTTGTTGCTTATACAATTCTTGAATTATGTAAAGATATAGACTTTAGAAGAATTTAAAACTACGATTTATCGATTTTAATCTCAAATGAAGCGTTAGCTAACCAATATATTAGCTCATTTTTGATTCATACAAGTTATCTATAGACGATACCACAATATTATAATAAATTTATTGAATTTGCTTAGTTATCAGTTTTTCACCCTTGAATTGTGTAACTTTTAAGCCAATTTAATAATAGACTTAAGTGTTTATATTTTGTCCTCGCGCCAACTCCAATACTCTTAAAATTTAAAAAATCGTTGTTGATTTTTTACCTCACGGACTTGTGTATACTTTCTAATTAATCTATAAGAGCAAAACAAAAACAAAACACTGTGTTAACTTTAAAATTTTGTAATAATGAAAGTATTTTATCCTTTTGCGGATGTATCTATTTATAATGCAACTTTTTCGCATTTTAGTAGTGATGATGGGATTTCAGAAATGCTTTTGTTGGAACGCATTGAAATGACTTGTTTTATGTAGAAAATACACAGAAGGCATATTTGTTGAAGATATATAAAATAATATGATTTGAATTTTTATTTACTTAATTTTAACTTTAGGTTAATTTTATAATCAACTTTATTTATATCAAATTTTGACCTTATTGATGTATTGATGTATTTTTAAGAATAATAAAAGAATGAAATTGGAAACATTTTTTTTACAAATTAAACTGAAAGTAAATACGCTTTGAAAATATGTTTTAAAGGTAAATTAGTTTAGTTGAACTTAATAACTAGTTCCTGTTACATGGACAAAAATATTAACAAGAAAATTTCTGTTTAAAAATAAGCCAATTAATGTATACAGAACATTAATTATTTATTTAAAATACTGTAACTTGAGATAATATTTTTTAAAGTTTTATGCTGTGCCAAAACAAAAAAATGCAATAGTTGTAAAGTATACATATTAACATAAATAGAGAAATGGGGTAGGTAATAGTGAGAAAACTTTTATATCAATTGAATGCTGCCAAACATACATATATCATCGACTTTGGAAACATTTCATTGGTTTAATTGCCAATATTATGTTATAATATTATATATTAAATTTATTCAAAAATAGATTTCTTGTCAAATAGCATTTCTACTTTGGTAAGCACTTAAAAAGAGAAAAATTAATAATTAAAGCACAAGTTTTACTTCAGCAATATATAATTGAAATTAAAAAAAATGAAATAATAACTATAATTATAATCGCATATTTTTACACATTACATACATTCATATATGTGTATATATACATAAGTACATGCATCGTATTTCGTCTATACGTTTATATAATAATATTTCCCAATCGCTCGAATACGCCCTTTTGCTTTGTTTTGCTTGCCCAAAAATCTACAAAATCAACTTGTGATATATACAAACTCATTTTAAATTTTATTTTAAATTTATATAAAAATTTTGTAAAAATGGCGATAAAAACGAAAAGGTTGCCCGTAAATTGGCTATGGTTGAAGCTGATTTGGAACGTGCCGAAGAACGCGCCGAACAAGGAGAAAAGTACGTTTTTAGGCTTAAGGAAAAAATTTAATATAAAAATTTTTAAATAGTTTAAGATAAGACTAAGACTTATGAGAAATGGAAAGCAATTGATAAAATGCGTTTAACATTAGTATTAATATATTAAAAAAAATTTGATGAAAACTGAGAGTCTTGTTATTGTTAAATCACTAAAAATGCAAAACGCTACTTAAGTTTAAGATATTAAAATACATATTTTAAAAATGAGTTTATTTCAGTTCTATTAACCAAATTGATATGGATTTATTTTTTATATATTAATTTTTATTGTGTTTCATACATATTTACAGCATACATTTTTTATTTTTGTAATTGAATTTTTTTTATTATTTTTAAACTTAGCTAGCTAGTTTTTTGTTAATTTGTTAATTAAGTTGAATGTAAAAAATGTGAATAAAATCTTTATAAGTAATTTGCAAGCATGCACACAATCTCCACCAACACCTCAAATCACCTTCCTTCTAAATTGAAATATACGTCATTTATTGTGTTTGCCTTGCATACCGAATTAAAAAACGTTCAGATTAATCGTAAAATATTCACATTTTTTAAATTGATTTAAAAAATTTATTTAAAAAGACTAATTGTATATTTTTTCTAATTTTTTAAATGTTACTATTGCGCGCTTTAATGTTGTTTTTATTAACATAATTTAAATATAACCGCTTGCCTGCCTGACTGCCTATACTGATAATGTTGCCAAACACATTGTTAACTTTTATACATGGCGTTGCCAACGCTGATATTCCGTTACGTACATTTCGTTCCGTTTCGTTATACTGTGTGTCGCTACTAATTGAATGCGTTGATAAGGTTGCCAGAAAATTAGTTCTCATGGAACAAGATTTGGAACGTTCTGAGGAAAAAGTTGAATTAAGTGAAAGGTTTGTAATGTATTTGAATTATATTTGCTGCTTTTATATAACAAATTTCCATTTTTAATATATAAATTTATTTTCTTTCTATAATACAAATTTAAATATTGGATATTTTAAAATAGCTCAAATGTGTATATTTTAAACGGAATCAAAACAAAAAATTTGTATAAAATATATCTCGTATAAATGAGTGTAGTAGAGAGAAAATTTTTAATTAATTATTTTTGATGTTAAGTAATATTTCTTTACTTTTAGTTCTTAATTTCTACTTTTTATTAAGAACAATCATAACCTTACATTACATACTGGTTTTAGAAGTACAATTTTTTTTTATTTTAAATTTATGATATTTTTGATATATTTGTAATAATTTTAATTCATTTAATTTTGGGGTAGTAATAAAACAATTTTTAAATTACATGTTTTGGTGCAATACAAAAAAGCATATTAAGTTATACCATTTTTGAAGTTCGGATAAAGAGTATCAGGCAAAATCATCAGTACATCCAACTAAGTGCTATACAGCTATGGCAGCGCTTTAACCGATTGTCCATACATTTTTCTCTGGTTAATTTAGGTATGCTCTTTAACCTGGGCGAATTTTATTCTTTAGTCGACTGTGACTAACGATGGTTTTGTGTCAATGCTGAACACTTAAAAATATAATTATTTTTGTAAAAACAGCTGATGTAAATGTTTATGTTAACATAATATAAACTTACCAATTTACATAAAAAGAAATTTACCAATTTACGGTATCAAAAACCCGAATATATTTTGCAGAAAAAGAATTATTACTTAATCGACTGTTACGATTACTTTAACAGACATCCATACAAACATCATTCTCTTTTTTCAAAGTAAAGTCTGAAAAAACTATTTAGATTTTTTATTAAATTGATGTAATGTTTTTTAAATTAGCGTCAGTCGCAGCTTAGATTTGAAATGTCCAATATTTAATTAAGATTTTAAACTGATTGCATACCTAAATTTATATTAATATATAACTATTTTTCTTAAACAGCAAAATTGTGGAACTTGAAGAGGAACTTCGCGTTGTTGGTAACAACTTGAAATCCCTTGAAGTATCTGAGGAAAAGGTATGCTAATATTTTTTATACTAAGTAAATATATATTTCTTATTTTATTCTTTTAACTATATAAATAATTATTTTCATATTCATTAAATTCGTTTCTTCTTTTATTATAAAAATATGTACCGGTTTAAAAAAATATATTATTTGAAATATTAAAACATATGCCACTTTACAAACAAAAATACTATTAGGCCAACCAACGTGAAGAAGAATACAAGAACCAAATTAAGACCTTGAACACACGTCTAAAGGAGGTATTATTACAAATTTATTATATATGGCTTTTGGAAACCGCAAGTGGATTTTATATGTGAAAATAAAAAAAATTATTTGAAATGGTTTCTTTTAAAGAAGATTACAAATGTAATTAATGCATAATTAGTGCTTTTACGGTTTACAAACCAATTTGCACCAAGTCAGCGATTAATTAAAAAAAATTGCTTTCAAATAAATTGCTGCTTACATTTTATTTAAGGAACAACTTAAAACTGTTCTAATATGAAACCATTTTTTGTAACATTTATGTCAAATAAATTTATCATTTTTGATTTTCAAATATTATAAAGCGCAAAATACCGCTAAATTTATATATATATATATATTTATAAATGTCTGATTCATGATCTCATTTAATTTATTTCTTTTATTTAATATCTGTAAATTTGAAAGGATTTTCATTTATTCTAAAAAATAATTAATTGTTTTATATATATATAATTAATATGGAATGCTACTCTAAAAGAAATATTTTTTATTTATATTTAATGTATAAGTTTATATATTTGTTTTAAAGTATAAATTGTTAAATGAATTTCCTTACAAAAGTTATTCAAACGTTTATTTGTATTTTTTAATCTATAAATATTATTTGAAATTTTAAATTACTATATAAAATATCTACCGACGAGATACACTATATTTAATTACGTAATATTTTCTTTTATATTGTTTGATATGATATCAAATATTTTTGAATATTTATTAATATTTATTTTAATTTTTTTTCATTTCATATAATGTTCGATGTTGCTGCTTTAATATTGTTTGTTTTGTGTTATTATTTTTTTCAATGCAATTCAACAATTTTCGACGAATTATTTTTATTTTTTGCCTTTTGCTCTCAATTTTTATATAACAATGCATGTAAAAATATTTTACTAAAACAACAAATACCACTGATACACCGATCCACCGATCCACCAACCTCAAACAATGTAACCGCAACCAAACTTCAATTAACAACGCACTTACGTCTAATATTTGTACTGCTTTATTGTATCTTCAAACGCAAAAAAAAAAAAAAAAATTAAAATTTAAAACTATGGAAAATGATGAAATTTAGGCTACACAAAAAGAGGAAACTTTTGAGAGCCAAATAAGAGTTTTGGATCATCAGTTAAAAGAGGTATTATGCAAAGTAGTTTTTAAGCTATATTGTATCTAATTGTAAATGTATAACTTGGTTTTAAAAAAAAATATTTAATATCGGCTGAGGAAAATATTCACGTTTGTTTATTAAGACAAACAATTAAATTTTTTATATAAAAGAGAAAGTGTTTGATCTGTTGAATATAGTTATATAATTCTATTTAATAAAAATCCATAACAAAATTCTCTAAATAATTTTCGAATGTAAGTTTGTGGAAGTCAAGAAGTTACTACTATAGTATTAATAAAATATTTTATATACATTATTATGTTGTTACGGAAAGTAATCATGCATAGACTATACCATCTTTAATGATTCCATTAGAGTTAAATTCTAAAAGAAGTACTACAGGTCGCTATTGATCGCTATTAATTGCCACTTGACTATCAAACAATATATTTTAATTTAGATACGTTTCCAACTTTTCAACTTGTTTTAGATAGATGCGTAGTATTTAACGATATTAATATTAATATCAATATAAACCGGCTGTATGAGATTTCTTAAAATCATTGTCCTATCCTAACCTCATCTAATCTATGTAATTAGATACGCTTGTTTCACTTATTAAAATTAAGGATTAAAATTGAATTTATATTTGAATAACATTTAAGAGGTAACATTATAGTGAATATAGTGGATTTTAATTGTAGCTATCCTATTCCTTGTGTGTGAACTTTTATTATATTTTGTAATTTTATAATCATTATTTAGTCATCACGTAGTATTTCTCTATTAGATTATCTCATTTAAATAATAGTATTTCTCTTAAGTAGTATTAATTACTAGCATTTTATTATTATTAAAATCAAAAGGAAAAAGAAAATATTGAATTGCACAAATCGTTATTCTCAATTTTAATTTAATGTACATAAAAATATTAAAAATATTGTAGCGAATTCAACGATGTTTTATTAATCTTATTTTATTTATTTGATATTTTCTTTTTTTTGTTCATATTAAAAATGGTATATATAAAATGTAACTAAAACTTGAAGCTTATAACTTTGAAATAGAAGAAAGACAAATCAGCAGAATATGTCATGGCAAGTAAAACAATAAATGAATTAATGTTTATATAGGTGTTTATGAGAAGTGTCCCTCCACAATACTATATATTCATTATTTTTGAACTTTAAATTTGCCTACAAACTCTGTGTTGTAATTGAGTTGTATTGAGCCTGGACTTTGTAAGTTCTAATCAATCGAATTCTTGAAGACAATGTACAGTTTCATAAAATTGAAAACAACTTTTTGTGCATAATTGCAAAAAAAAAACAAATAAATACGATAAAAAATTTGTGTCTAAATTATAATTAAATTATATTTACTCCGAGTGTTTATACATAATTCGCACGTTTAGTCATGTGGAAGATGATCATGGCCACATAATTTTATTTGTTTATGCAATTAAACAAAAAGTTCGGTAGACATTTTATGATAAATCGAAAGTTTTATTTTGAAATAAAAAACATGATATATTATTTGTCTTTCTCAACAAAAAAAAACCAAAAAAAAAACCAAAACGTTAAGGCTCGGGAAGCACAATTTCAAATTGAAAAGGATATTATGCAAATGAAAATAAATCTAGAAAATGTAAGTTACAATATGTAGCACCACTTAAGAAATTCCTCAACCTTGTTAACACATTATTGTATATATATATATGTGTAATATATATATTATTATATACATTGAAGATGTATTTTATTTTAAGCAAAGATTCGAATTCAAAAATTGCAAATATATAAACAATGAAAATTACATTGGCAATTAAAAGTGCTTCGTTTTTAAAGAACTTAAAATATAATAAAAAATAGTGAGAAAAAAGCACACTTTACAACAACATTTACTAATAGACCAATCAACTACAAATGCCCAGTGAGTGCTTAATTACTTTATTATACTTGTTTTTCTAAGCTTCTGAATTTTGCACTAATGCTTTGAATTTCTGTTTTGTATTTAGTAAAAATATTGGGCTTGAGAAATATTCTGAATACATGACGTGGGCACAACAGATTTCTAGGTCGCACTGAGAGACTCTAGTTATTTACACTGCAAAAGTTCTCATAGCGATCAATCAAAGGAACTAAATTCAGTCGGCATTCATGGTTAATTTCTGCTGTCCTTAAAGTGTGTTCTTACTTTTTTTTGTTGATTTTTTAATGCAACGTTGTTTTCAACGTCTGAATTTTTGGCAACCATGGGTTAATGGGTTAGAGTTCAAAAATAAAAGTTTTAAAGGACTAATTTTCAACCTTTCTTCCGAGTTGAAAACAATAAACACATGAACAAAAGCAAAAACTCAATCAAAATCAATAGTTAATTAAAAAAAACCATTATCATGTGAGTGGATGATTGTTAGGAAGAAACGAAATAAAAACAATCAAAAATTTAATCTTTGTAAGAAATGATGCAGAACACATCTTCAATGTCAAAATTAAAAGTCAAGTAGTATAACAATTGTTATTTATTTTATTGAATTTAGTAGATAATAGAATATTATAGTTTATAGCAATATTATAATTTTGTATTTTTTTAAATTAAATTTCGTTTATTTAATTTTAGTATAATATTAATCTTAGCAAATTGTAAAAGATTAGAGTGCTACATTATTTTTGGTAAATAATTAGATTAATAATAGTACTAAATTTGTTGATTGGAATGTTTTACTAATTTTGTTTTTATTGTATTGCAATAAATCATATATATGGTGTTAATTTTTTTAACATATAATACTATAAACATTATGAATACTAATTAAATAAATGTTATACTGTTTTAAATAATCTAGATATAATAAAAATTGCACACTGAATAAATTATTAATGCTGATTTTGGTAGAATTAAAAACATTTTTCTGGTTTTTTTGCAAATTAAAATATTGACAAGGATATTAGTATACATATATTATTAATTATTTATATTAAAATAAATTAATCATTATTTTATATTATTACCCATAAAAATTTTTTTTTCAGTTTTACTTGTAATATTTTTTATAATATTTATCTTTGTCAATATTTTAGTAAAATCCACTTAAAAATTTCCCAAAGTATTTACTTATATAAACTTTTAAATAATCATGAACTAATGTATATATTTATTATTTTTTGAAAAAAAATTATGATTAGGCTGAAGCCCGTGCTGAATTTGCTGAACGCTCCGTTCAAAAATTACAAAAGGAAGTCGACAGGCTCGAAGGTATGTTTCGTAAAGATATTCGAAAACTGTTTTACTATATATTGTACTAAATGAAAATATTATTAATTGTATAATTAAGACACAAAATTAATTACGAAAATAAAAAATAGATTAAGTGACGAGAGTATTTATGTCTTAATAAACTTTTTTATAAAATTAGAAATATATATTAAAAACAATATTTTCTAGAAATTAATTTCTATACATTTATATTTTAACAACTAAATACGACCTTCGTAATATAAATTAAGAGAATTCAATTCATTTTTGAAACTAGTTCAACTTTTAAATTAAAAGCTTGGAAAACTTTTAAACATCCGTAAAATGCAAAAAATTTGATATTTTAAAGAAATAATATTTAATTTTTTTTTCTCCGCCGTTTCCATGTTCGGCTGAATCGTCATTTGTCACGATCGAATTTCATTCACAGATTAAATATATGAGTTAAATTATACAAAATCATTGAAGTAATATAGACATATTAAAAAATTCAAACTTCAAAAAGTTTAGATTTCCGATTTGAGAAAATTATCCCCAAGTTCACATTTAAAAGTATTTAAAAAAATTTTTTTTAGATATGTGTTACTATATAGATAATCATTATTTTAAAGGTAAATATTATCAAGGTCGTATTGTGTTTGTCAGTTAGGATTTTAAGTTCTTTCACTGATATGTTTAAATAAGGTAATATTTAATAATATTATAGTTTATTTTATTCTTTTTTATATGTATTGTTTTCTTGTATCATATTATTTCTTGTAGTTTGTCTCCTCCTTTAGTTTTTTTAAAGATATTTCAGGTTATAAATTATTTTGATGAAATATCTTTAAAGTTTATTAGTAAAATTTTTGTATGTTATATTTTAAATATTTTTATTAGTAATTTTTATTTTATTTAAGGTACAGGTAAATTTTTTTTTTTTCAAATTAAATTTTTTTATCATAATTATATTACGTAAATATTAATTCTATAATATTCTACTAATATTATTATATTATTAAGTAGAGTATGATAAAGGGTGTGTGTGTCTCAGTTTGAAGTTAAGAATAAATTTCCCGTTAAAAATGCCAATACACGCCACTGTTTCATTTTTTTTTGTGTTTTATTTATTAACTACACTTTTCTTCCTATTTTTTAGTGCTGATAGTTGCCACTATCGCTATTTTTTTTAAATTATTTTTTTAAAAGGTAAATTTAATTTGCAGTGGATATTAAGAATTTTGTTTTTTTTAAATTTTTTGTTAAATTGGCTCATAACAGGTTTTATATTAAATTCTAAGTAATTATAATTAAAACAGATTGTTAATCTGTGTTTCCAGGTCTCACCAGAAAAATGTTAAGGAATGACATTTTGTTTTTTGATATTTATATATATGAATGTATTTATTTTAAACTTCAAACTTCAAACTGAAACAACCTTTATAGATATATCTGAATTGACTTTGTATTTAATAATTACTTTTAATATGTATATATACGTTTTTAGAATTTTGTATAAATATTTAAATATATATTATTTTAATTTATTGAAAAATAATTTTTTGCTTAATTTATTTTATAATTTATTTTAATATATATTATATTATTTTACCATATTTTTGTTTTTTACTTCATATTAATTAAATTAATTTTATTTAAAATAAATTTTTTCGTTTTATGTTTATGTTGTGTTGATTAACCATTATCTTCCACTCACCTGACCGCCTGATCGCTACATATCTAATGTTTATGATTTAAATTAATTTAATTGAATAATAAATTAATTGCTTGCTATGCTGTATCCAAATGTAATGGATTTGTTTGTGCTTATTTGTTGATTTATACAAACCAAACCAAACCAAACCAAATAAAATCATCAATCAAATCCACAATTGAAACGAAAATTGCTGCCAAATATTGCTTTAAAATCGCTAAAACTCTGTTGCTGCCCGCTTAAAACACACAATCGAACACAAAAATTTCGATTACAGATGATCTGATGACCGAGCGCGCAAAGAATAAATTGTTACAAGAAGAGATGGAGGCCACTCTACATGACATACAAAATATGTAAAATACAAAATATAAAAGATAAAAATAAAAATAAAAACAAAACGTATAACACATTGAAGGGTTCAGCTTCAAAAACACAAAAACACAAAAAAAAAAAAAAAATACCCACTAACGTTTTTCTGTTGTCTTTTCTAAACTGCAAATACACTGCCAACAGTTTTCAATATATTTCTTAAAATTAATTAAAGTAATATTATAAAATAAAATATGAACTTCAATAAGTGGGCACGGCAATGCATTAAAACAACGACGACAAACCATTATTTCAAGTTGTTGCCAAATGTAAAATATACATTTGTATCTGAAGCTGAAGCGGACAATGTGTTTATGTTTTATAATATATTTTTTAAAAGTAGTAAAGCAACAACAAATTAAAAGAAATGAAGAAAAAATAAAATTGAAGATTTATTTTTACTAAATCTTGTATGCAGAAGACATTAAAAGACAATAAATAAAAGACAGAGTATAGCTACTCTCTTCTCACCGCTTTAAAATTACTTCATAATTTCTCTATTACTATAAATGAATATTAAATGAGAAATAGTAAATATTAAAGTTGTGTGTGAGAGATATTTGCATTAAAAAGTCATTCCATTTAAAATATTATTTTATTTTTAAAAATAACTTATTTTTATACATTGCTTTATTTTCTGCTACAAATTGCAACAAAAACTAAATTATAGAAATTATAATTTTTATGTATTTAATTTGCCAGTAATAAAATAAATGCATTCTTTTCTATTTATTTTTAATTTATTAAAACAACAAAAAAAAAAAAAAATTGATGCAATACAAGTTTAAATAAATAATTATTTATTTTCTATAAAACTCTATGTAATATTACTTTACATTATTTTCAACAAAAAAAAAAAACTAAAATATTGCAAAATATATTCATTGAAGATACTATTACTAACATAAAAAAATTTATTCGAAGAAAATTCAAAAATATTATTTATAAATTAAATTTATTTTTTAATAGAGCATGTTTTGTATTTATATTTTTTTGGCGATTACAATTGTATTATTTGTTTGTATTAAAAATGCTAATTTTGCTGATTATATTAAATTTATTATATATATTAAGTTAACACAAATTCAAAAGAACAACTAAAGCCGTAACAAATTATGTCAACCAATTACATTTATTTTTGTATTTAAGTGCTTTATTTCAAACCTTTAAGAAGGTAAAATAAATATATTCCATTTAAAAGAAAAATAATATAAAAAAATTTTTATGACAATAAAATGCCACTTCTCTAATAATAATAAATAAATCTGTATTATACGATTTTATATGTATTATTAATATGAAATACAATATTCTCTGAAAATATAAGATTCGTTGCAAACAATCATTGAGACGACGATAAATTATGAAAATCTGTTTCGTTTTCGAAAAATTCATTTACTCTATTTTTAGAGTTGTATATTTGTATATTGGAATTTTATGCTGATATATTACAATACGTTTATACTCTTTAAAAATTACATAACGCAGTGTTTGGCAACAAGATTGTAAAAGTATTTAACAAAACTTATGAAATACAAAAACATATATATCAACACTCTCTATGTGATCTTCACAGTCCAAATGTTTATACCTATACATGTAATATATATATTTTTATAAAAATTTAATAAATTTACCATTTTAAATTTTTCCAAACTGTGCTTGAACCAAACCAACCTAACGCGTTATCCTACTCCACGCTTAATCGCAACTAACCACGTACAAACAATTCTACGTACAGATGAGTTAATTATTGAAAAAGAACATTACGCCATTATTGGCGACAGTTTGGATGCAGCATTTGTTGATTTAATGGGAATGGAACCAGATTATAATGATCGTAATCCAAAACCACCAACACCAAAATTACCGACACCAACCCCGGAAGAAATAGCTGCTGCTGAAGAAGCAGCTGCTGTTGCCCGTGCAGCCGCTGAAGCTGCGGAACGTGGTGAAACAGAAGCAACACTGATTGTAGGAGCTGTTGAAGGAGCAGCTATTAGTGATGTGGTTGGTGAAGTGGGCGTTGCTGTTGAACTTGTAATTAAAGAGCCAACCCCACCACCACCTCCTCCACCACCATTTGAATATGCTATTGATTTGCCACCAGAAGGTGCTGAAGTACCTTATGTAAAGAATTTTGAAGGAATCGACATTATAATACCTGAAACAGAAGTAAAAGTTGAATTAGTAGAAGGCTCATTAGCAGTTGAAGTTACGCCGGTGCCACAAGAGAATCAAGTACTAACAGTTGAAGCTGCAGTCACAGAAGCTTCTACAACAACAACTGCTGTTGCTGATGTAGCTACGGCAGTTTCTAATCAGTCTGGGGCTACTGCTGAAACAGCTGTGGTAGTTACTGCTACTGTAACGACTGAAGCTACTGTAGTAGAATCTGCGCCTACAACTGAGGCTACTACATCAGAACCTGCACCTGTAGTAGAACCTACTCTAACTTCAACAGAGACATCATCAACTTAATGTTACCGATACATTAATAATACAGTTGATTGAAAAATAAATTTTCTTAAATAAAAAGGATAAAGTATTAAAGATGCCGTGTGTCTATGAAATTCAACATTCAATCTATTTGTCAATCTCTCACTTTTCCGCATTTAATTTATCTACTCATACTTACGAATGTTATGACTAAATTTTAATATTTTCTACTAAATTTTGTACCTGTTTTTGTACATGTCTAAATTTTCATTTTGCTAAATTTATTTATATTTACATTGTTTCTTTGCTCTTTTCTTTCGCTATCATTCTTCTTTCTTTATTTTCTCTTTTTTTATGTAATTATATCGCTTTTACGACATTCACTTCATATGCTTTTTCACTTGCTTGCTTAATCTAATGCTGCATAAAATGCAAAATATAAATAAAATCAACACAGATGATCTTATTGTTGAAAAAGAGCGTTACTGTCTAATTGGTGACAGTCTTGATCTGGCTTTTCTCGATCTTATACCTGGACTTGAACCATTTTACACGGAACGTAATCCTAAACCACCTACACCAAAATTGCCAACACCTACACCTGAAGAAATTGCTGCTATGGAAGCTGCTAAAGCTGAGGCTGAAGCAGCAGCAGAAGCCGCAGCAGCAGGAAATGGTGAAGCACCTACTGGTGAAGCAGCTGTAGAGGGAGTAGAAGGTGCAGCACCTGTTGAAGCGGAAGTAGTACCAGAAGCACCTAAAGAACCAACTCCACCACCACCGCCACCACCACCATTTGAATATTCAATAGATTTGCCACCAGAAGGTGCTGAAGTACCATACGTCAAAAACTATGAGCCCCCACCACCCGGTTCTGAGGAACAAGCCGCACCGGTAGAAGGTGCACCACCAGCAGAAGGCGCACCTTCAGCAGAGGGAGCACCACCAGCGGAAGGTGCAACAACAACAGAGGCTGCACCACCAGCAGATGTTGCAGCTGCTCCTACAGAAAGTGCAGGACCTGCTTCTGATGCCGCTCCAGCAGCATCTACTGCAGAAGCTTCAACAGCTGCAGAGGCTGCACCCGCTTCGGAATCTGCTCCACCTGCAGAAGCTGCACCGGCTGTTGACAATGCACCTGCAGGCGAGGGGCAAACTACGGAACCTGCACCAGCTGCTGACGCTCCTCCAGCATAAATCAGGCTACACATATATTGCAACTAATTTTTTTTGCATGCTAATTATAATTTTGTATTTTTTTTAATATTTTATTTTTTTGAGATTATAATAAATGGCTGACAGCATAAATAATTTTAAATTTTTATTTATAAAAAATGAAAGTTCTTTTGAAAAACAAGAAAGAAACTCCGTTCTTTCGCCTCTGCTTTGCCTTTTTTGTAATTAAAGTTTAAAGCAATTTTACCACCAACTACTAATGCCAAGGCTAAAAATTACGAATGTGCTGCTTTAATTAAGGTAATAAATTTTTTTATGTTTCATATTATTTATTTTAAATATTTTGTTTTATATATTATTTGTTATATTGTTTTATATATTATTTGTTATATTATTTGTGAATTTTATGTATAAAGTACAACTATTTTATTCTTAAAAAAAGGTATATACTTAAAAACATCAAATATAAATGGATGATGACCTTATAGATCTGAATTCAGATTAATCACTGACATTTTTACTTAATATGCTCTTTTCATATGCCATCTTTCAAAATCGAGATGAAGAACACTGACACTTGTATATTCTGTGAAATACAGGATGAAACATTTTCTATCTTATCTGCGTGTGTCCTGCGGACACAGTGTCTCCATCTGGTATTTTTTAAATCAAATGAATTTAAAGTCTTGAAGGAATGGATATTGTTAAGTTAGGACATTTCCTTCAGAAATAGTACAATATATATCAAATGTCATTGTGTATTATTGTTTTTATAATATTATTCGATTTTTTTTTTTCAATTTATATGATCTATATCCAGCAACTAACTATCTAGTTACACTACTTAGTTACAAGAGATCATCTGGCTACTGCAATAAATTATTTAATATATTTCATTTTAAATCATATTGAGTTTATCTATTGCATTTCCCTTCAATTAAATATTTAAATATCACTGAGGTCCTATGCTCCATTGGGAGATGAGGATAGAGGAGATACGTTTTCTAGTTCCATTGTAACATTCTATTTAAATCCTTTAAGTTATGTAATATTTAGTGACATAATTTCGTTGTGTTTCATTGGTTATAGATTATACATGTTTTAGTTATTTACTGTACTTGTAGTGTAAATTATTTTTTCTTAATTGTTAGTTTAACGTATTTTGTTTTCCATTAGTTAATAATTTTTTAATTATTTTTTATTTTCTAATTATTTGCAAACTTTGAAAAATAGACGACCTCGTCTTGGAGAAGGAAAGGTACAAGGATATTGGAGACGATCTCGACACTGCTTTTGTCGAACTTATTCTCAAGGAATAAATTATTCATTAGCTTGCAGCAACAACAGAAAACAACAACAAAATCAACAAGCACAACAGCTAAAAAAACGGCACATAAATATTGCTATTATAAATGTTGCTATAAAATTATAGCAACAGTTTTATAGCACAAACACAGCTTAATGCAGTTGAACCCAATTAAATTTTTTGTTAAAATATATTATTGAGATGTTTGATTTTGTAGTGTAAAATAAAGTAAAAATCAAGTATTTATTACATCAGAAATATTTTTTTTTGCTTTCTTTAAAATGTACATCTGTAATTTGTTGTTTAGTATACACTTTGCAATTTTTTAATTTAAATAAAATTCTTAATATTATTAAAAAAACTTATATAATTTATTTTTTAGTTTTCATTTTAAATAAAAGTATCATTTACAATAATTAAAAACTTTTGTTTTTTTTTTAAAGTTTGCATATTAAGTCAATTTGAAAATTTGCTTTTTATTGCAGAAGAGGTCAGTAAAGGTAAGGAGAAGTACAAAACAATTGCCCAAGAATTGGAGTATGCCGACCTGAATAATTACTAAAAGCACTTATTTATATCATTAACAATATTAAAATCGAAGTACTAACACCGACCGAGGCAACTCATAAAATTGCAGTTCAACATTAAAAATTGCCAGTAAATTTAATGCTCATTATGACAGTTTATGGTTTAGAGAACGGTTTAGAACGCTTTATATGCAAGCAAAAAAATAATTTTTTTTAATTACAAAAAAATACACATAACATAACTTATGTCCATAACAATTATTAAGTAATAGTCATTTCAGTAGAAATAGAAGAACAAATTAATATATAAAACTGCCTTATATCTTTTCTATTAATAAGTTAAATAAATTAACAACTAAAACTTTACAAAAAAAAATAAAAAAACCATTTTTATACTAGTTTAGGTTTAATTTTTATATGCTATATATTTATTTATAAAAAAAAGTAGTTTACTAATCGATATGAAGTGCAATGCAAACATATAAAGCCTATTAATATTTGACATTAACGATGTTTTCTGGTTTAAATAATCCGAAATGTCTTAAAAATAAAATCTTCCAAATACAACAAATAAGCAACAAAATATCTTTCAACACAAAAACAGCAAATCCAATAGATACATCGAAGTTATCCTTATGACGGAATTTGCTTTAATAGCATTTCTTTTGCTTTAACGTTAATAAAATAAAATTAATTTACAAAAGTTTTTGTTTTAAGATCATGAATCGAAATCATTAAATCGTATAATAGTTATGTCAAAATTTAAACAACTTATACATTAATAATGAGAACTCAAATGGGAAAGTTTCTTCTAAAAAATTTAGCTCTAACTCTTAAACTTATATGGCAGATGTTGGTAATAATTGATTTAAGTTTTGATAGAAATCTGGAATATTGATTGAATATCAACTGAATTCAACTGAGTGCCTTGGATGCCATTTGCTTACTATGTAATTAATGTAATTCTAATAATAAAAACAAATGGAATTTTTAACATCCATGTGTCGTAGGAATATCCATATTACGTTAGCATATAAAAAAGTTGTTCCTCTAAGAAATAAGAAAAGTATCAAAAGAGCATTCAAACTCAACATACTATGCTCACATTACATGTATGTAGGGAATGTATTTATAATAATATACAATATCATTCCTATAATAATTTTGTTATATGAATATGAAAATATTAAGGATCCAATATATTTCATCTTTTGAGTCATACATAAGGAACAAATTTTAAGTGAACTATGACCATATATGATCACAAATGCAGTTGTCAAATTCAACATGTCCAATATATCGAAATTGTGTTATATTTTCGGCAGAACTTCATAAAAAAAATATATAAATGAAATTAGCTGCTGGAATATAGAAAAAATGATGATATTTAATTTTCTTTTTAATTTTCTTTAAACTTTAATTGATTGTACTTCATATCTTTAAGTAAATGCTTTCTACTTAATGCTTGTATTTTGCAGAATAACAGCAATTGCAATTGGAGCCTAGATTTGTTGCTTCACTCTTTAATTTAGCTGTAGTTTTAATTATAAAAAATAAAAATCTGTTAAAAATATTTTAAACTTTGTATTTATTAAATATTATGCATTCATTTTTAAAACAAGAACAGGATAACCAAAAAAAAAAACCTAACACAAATAAAGTGCAGCTTTTATTAAAAAAAATAAATTAAAAATAATAAAACTAAGAGTAAAACGTATATTTAAGATTTTTTATGATAAATAAATTGTGTTTTTCGCATTAATTTATAAAATAATAATAATATTTTACAAGTATATTACAAATTCAAAGTGCTTTAATTTAATTATACGAGTAGGATTACTATGAAGTTTTTTTTAATCGATTTTAGCTGGAATCCATATATCGGCTATTATATTAATAAACAAGAACAATTCTTTGTTTAAATGAAATGAAAATTCTATTATATAATTTTTTTTTTATTAATTATTGCAAAACAGCCTATTGGGTTTACAATTAAAAATGAAACGTGAAGTTATTCAATTCATTGAACACCTGCTTTATACAGCGCAAACGATCAATGATTATACTCGTATATTGAATAAGTTAACTCGAGTTTTCGCTTAAACGTTACTCTTACATCCCAGATAGCTGTCCGCTAATCTATTTTATTAAGTAAAATGATATCAGTCTCATTAATGCCATAGTTCTATTCCAGTGAAGATTTAATTTTTAAGACCTGTTAATATCTTTCATAGGAACAATGCTCTAGTTAACTAGTTGTAACACTACGATTAACTTTCACGGCTTCAAGAAAAGATGTGTGAGCATCAAAGATATACTAACAACAAATTATACGATGTTCTTTATTTCACACTATAGGTCTGGATGATGGCTTGCATGACAGCTATAGTAGATATCACAGTTTGCTCTTGTAGAGGAGCCTTATACTATTCATCGCATAAATGGCGGTAATATTAGCCTTACATTTATTGAAGACAGAGATATCGGACATTCCAGGTTAATATCTGAAAATTATGATCACTTGTTTGTTCACGTGGTTCGTCATGTCTCTGGCTTTGTCACTTCCTTCATTGTCGTCTGATTTTGCGTGATGTGTGCCACACCCTTATGCATAACCCAAACTTAGGGTGCTGTAGATAAGAATCGTTGTACTATTATTCCATTGTCCAGCGGGTGGCAGGTAAGTACCCAGGGATGCCACGTAGAGACTGTGCGACAACTTAGATTGAGGATGACAAGGATTTCAATGGCATTGTCTAAGTTAAATGCAAACAATGGGCACGCGCACCAAACCCAATACATAATAGATATATAAAATATATGTTAAATGTAATTAAATTATAAACTATTAATATACTAGTAATAAATTGGTGAAATAGTAAAATATCAAAACCCAATTTCATTATTTTTGGTAGTGATTATAGTCATATCTTAGTTAGTGATTGATTAAATTTAACTGCAGACAAAATGCATTGATATGCATTTTAGGACCACTGAATAAAGGTGTGCAATTATTTACATACACATTGTGTTTTTAATGTTCGCAAGTTGCTAAAACTTGTGTATATGCTATTAACTTAGTACGAAATTGAAAATAGATAAATAGCGATATATGTTTACATTCATGTTTAACGTAATTTGAGAACAATTATATTGAGAACAAAACGATATCAGGATGGCTCCTCCAGCAAGTAAAGTTTTATTGAAGAAATGACGTAAAACTATTTAGATATTAAATTGAAGATTATGCATAATATGAATGCAGGAGAAACAGTTTTCTTCTGCAGGTTTTTGTATTATGGAATTAGCAAAACATATTGTATGTGCAAAATTTCAAAGGAACGTTTAACCTTATTGTTAGCTGGCAATGCATTTGATGATTTAAGTTAAAAGCATACCTTATTTTTGAAGAATGGTTCATACATATTCCTGTCTGGAAAATAAAACATATTAAGGGAATAATAAATTAACTAATAAAGCTCTGCTTGCTTTAGATAATGTAACGTCAAATCCAAAGTGGAGTTTTTGCCGAAAAATACCACGGCTTTACTCCAGTCGATGAATCAAGGTGTCATATCAATTAGACACCTTATGGTGCGCATTATCTACAAAAAATCTTTTCGAATGCTCATAGAAGCAACAGATAATCGAAGGTGCCGAAAAACTTCCTAGAAAAGCAATCTTTATGGCCAGAATGCGTCCTCAGAAATCCTGTGTCTGAAGTTGATACCAATATAAATGATGTTGCAAAAAAGGGCAGTAGAAGCTGGTTTTGTTGTCTACATTATAGATGACGTCAGCCAACTGTTATATCATTCGAAACTGTTGGATTAAAGAAACGACAGAGAATAGAATAATAGTTTTAACTAAAATCGCAAATTCTGAAAGCATATTTTGATAAAATTGATGGAGTACTCAATGACCATAAAATTGGGGGCTCACTTTCTAAGCATAGCTCGGACATTCCCAAAAAAGTTTATGAAGCTATGTAACCATATAAAGAAGCTCTAAAACAGCAGCAAAAAAAAAACAAGTCAAACAGCGAACATTATATTTGGTTTGAAAATAATCATAAAGATAGTAAGAATATAAATATCAGTAAATAAATATTTATCAGATATAGGAATTCAATATAAATTTTTTTGTTGTTCTTGAAGTCGATATATATAGGTTTTTTGTTTTTTTGGTACCAGTTTAATTATTTTCCATACAGTTATCTGGAATTATTGGTTTCGTTTAACGGGTTTTCGTTTTCCGGTCAACTTATTTGAAACGAGTTAAGGCCATTAGGCGAGGTATAGGTGTATAATTACATCTGAACCATCAAACAAATGAAAGTTATATCCAAATATAAACTGACTGAAATATTAAATATTTTTAAATTTGCTTATGTCGTATGCCATATAGTATTTTATATGAATCGTAACAATAATCGGTATCCGGTATTGTCCTCTTTCAACTTTCTATCGATCTCGATTGCTGATCGACGTCATTAATTTGAACACCTCTTTGCTACAAAAGTTCGGGTCGACGTCATTCTCCCATCGCAAGCATTTTTTACCTTTCAACAGTTTAACATAAACTGTCATGTCAGTATGTTTAATTGAAAGTTATAGAACATAATTAATAATTTTACATTGCTAAGATAGCTTTTAACTATCGTACCGCCTTTACAGAAAACAGCATTAATTGCGTGCATGCAATTTAAAAAACGTGAAAATCACAAAAATAATATTTGGAAAGTTATACTGAAAATACAAGTTAGGATTAGACTGTAGGCATCAACAGAACTGTACTGTTTTGTACTGCTTTCTTGATGAGTATTGCAAATTAAAAATCCCCTAATCCCCTAAGGCAAATCATATTTGTATAGCAAACTGGAACACTGGAACACTGCTACAATTACTAACTGTATGTCATCAACATTAGCTAAGTCTTTTGGTTCACACGCACTTGAACTAGGATGGTGTAAGTAAAATAATGTAATATTTCAGTGTTCATATATTTAACATATATAACAAATATGTTTATAACATATATGTATATTGTATTGTAGTAAATGTTTGTATCATTCGAATAGGTTATGCGAATAGGATTATTTGAATGGAGAAATTCTACTATCTGTAAGTTTGTCTGTGTAATAAAATATATAAAATATTATACTATAAGCTTTATAAACATTATTTAACGTGAACCTTGTTGAGTAGGATCTCCAACAAATCCTATGCTTAAACAAATGAACACCCCACCATTGTTCACTAACGCCAAATTAAAATAATTTAAAAAAAATATTTGCATTCTTTAAAAACTTTTTTTTAAATATCAAATTGCGTAGAAAAATTATTGAAAAACGAAAAACTATTTGTTTATTTAAAAAAAAACTTATTAAAATAAGAAATTTCAAATAGTATATTTTCGTTTAATTAAAAGTGAAAAAATATTAATATGATTTATGTGAAAATTTGAAAAATATCATCACTGCACTTTATGTGATGACCTATGATGGAAAATCGTTTATATAAATATTTTTAATTATTTCAAATTCATTTTCAGCGTAAGGAAATGCGCACAAAGCAATAAAAATTTATACAGAAAAATGTATGCAAACAATTTTTATAATAGCTATTTTTAAAACTTTAAGATATAGAGAAATAAAAACAAATATGAGAAACGAAAATATTTAACGCAAAATTTTGTAAGAATTTCTATAGAAAGTTCTAGCCACCACAAAAGCGCAACATATAATAACATAATAAGCATTACGAGAACCGTACGAACAACCTACGAGTACACATGTACATGGAAAAGGAACCAAATTGGTGTGAGTGTATGCATGTATTAATAAAATTGTACAAATTTCAATTTTTACATATAGTTTGACTTCTTATGAAAGCCATAAGCAGGTGCTTTTCTATTGATCATATCGTTTGAGTGTAGGAAATTTATTATATATAAAATAGTGGGAAAATATTTTTGTTTTCAAGCGAGACAAAAGTTTTCTTACAAATGAGTGCCCATCACGAGCACATCATGAAAGCACATAGCAATAGCGTAGGTAAGAAAACTTTTAGGCGTAACGAAAAATAGTGGGACTTTTTTTTGGATTATAAATAAAATTTTCTCTTGGTGTTTTTGTTTTTTCTTTCTTGTTTTTATACAATAAATGTTTTAACAAAATTGTGTATTTATATTTGTGGAAATTCACTTTTTAAAGTATTGGTGACTTTTCTATGGGAGACAGTTTTGCACAATGCGTTTGCATATGATCTGTAGAGGGCTTTGTGGGTTAGAAAAGTTGGCCGACATCAGTGTTCTCGGGGTTTTGACAGCGTATAGTGTGTTTGGAACGCTAAGGTTAGTTCCTGCAATTAAGGATAAGTGTGAAATTTTTTTTTATGGATAAAATATGAAATCGCATTTATTCTAAAATAAAATAAAAAAAATTTGTAGTGCTTCATTTCAAAAATAAAAAATTAATAATAAAATTAATTATATGTATGATTGAATGACTTCTATATATATATATATAAATATATATATATATATATATATACATTTGTATATATATATGTATTTTGTATATATGTGCGTGTTGTATAAAAAAAATTGTAAAAAGTATAAAAAAATTAACAAACTAAAATGACAAAGTTTAATTCATAAAAAGTAAAAAATGTTGTCAGTAAATTTTTCAGCATATCAATTATGGTTTAATATATATATATAAAAAAATATGCACCCATATTATTAAATCAAATAAATAAAAAATATTTTATATGTATTATGCAACAATAAATCTTCAAAATACTGACCACACAATTCAAAAATTTATAATATAGAGAGAAGTCATACTCAACAAATCCTAGTAATTATTTGAAAATATAAACTGTACTTTTACCGTCTTTTATATAAACTTTCAAATATAATAATTATATATAAAAAATTCTTTAAATGGAATTTTGTAACCAAATCGCTTTTGAAACAAATACAAATGCAATTTCAATCTAAGTGAATGCGTCTAACATAAAAGCTCCTAATGATTTTTTTTGCACACAAATATATATACAATGCTAGTATAAACTCAATATCATATAAATATATGTATTTAATATATAAAAATATCTGAGACACCTGCATACAATTTATTTTTAAAACTTACCCACATAAAATAAAGTTGATCATACAAACATATACAAAGCATACTACAAAGCATTTACATATAAATATGTGTGTACTTTGTATGTATCGAAACTTTGAAAGCTTTTCGTATCACATACAAACAAATCGTTTTTATAAAAATTTATCCTTGAGATCGTCGTTGTCGAAATATTTATATATCTGAATATAAATTTTTTATCATAAAGTCCACCCACTCATTTACTAAATTTTAACATAATTAATAAAGAGTGTATATTAAGAGGCAGGTACAGATTATACGTATTATAGTATTTTATGGGTTAAATGCGTTGAAGATATCATTGGTTTGATCACCGTTAAGACAAAATAAGACAATCGGACGAGATATTCCACAATCTTATCAACTAATCCATTAGTTTATATAAATTTTTTTATCAAATATATAAATTGTACACAATATATGGAGACAAGCTCTTAGTTTATTTTTAAAACTTGCCTTATGTTGTTTCACCTTCATGTATATCTACATATTTATAAAATTAATTTAACGTCTTATTTTAATACATATTGTTTTTTACATGTTGTCTTTAGTCGGCCTTGTCTTTAGTAAGTTTAATTGTTTTAGGTTTCACGAATTTAAAACAACAAACTATTTCAAATTCAATACTATTTATACAAGTAAGATGCTAAAATAAAAATCTAAATTAAAGTATTGATTCTTGATTTTTAAAGACAACACCGCATATGTACAATTATTCAAATCTTAAAGAGTAAGGGCAAATATACTATTACTCTCTCTTTCCAGAATGTGAACTTTATTTAGAAAAGTAATAACGTATGGGGCCAAGGACGACTCACGTCTATAATAGCCACCTAAGTAATTAAGTAAATAGTAACATACGCTTGTGCTTTAGGTGTTAATTTATACATGCTGTTATTTTGATTCTAGACAATCTTAAATTGAATAGATGTTTTCTCACTTTTCAATGCCAAGCGAGCAAATCGAAAGAAATTCTAATTAAGTAGCGCTTTGTATTTTTATCCTAAATATAGGATTATTGATATACAATATTGTTTTAGATATGCTTTACTGTTCTAATAATATCCTGAATTTTTGTTTTTTAGTTTTTATATAATACTTTCTTTTTCTTTCCATATGAGACACAGAATATATCATATTCTCTGAGCCTGATACTATGCTCTCCTATAGGATAGTTTTACATTTAAAGACTGAAATTGGAAGCAAACGCTCCTCACCATATTTCAATTAAAATAAAATGTATATAATTTTTAATAACACTGATAAAAGTATTTGAGGTTCATACTTCCGATGAAGTAGTAGATTAGAAGATTAAGTAGATCAAGAAAGTAAGATAGAATGTAGTTTAGAGTATAAATCTTAAATTTCTATAGTCATGCTATTCACCAAGTAGTATTGTACTTAAAATTACATATATAACTTTAAGAAAATTGATTAGGGGCTGATAAGATTGAATAAGGATGTATACCACTGCTATTAATTCAAATCATCTTTTTTTTACTTCGGTTAAAGTTTTTTGTTTAGAAAATGAAATTTCTAAAATAGAAACCAAGATGTCATAATAATTCCATTAACATCGTCATTTGTACATCTGCATTCTTGTGAGGTAATATATATATATATATATATATATATATTTGCTACATATCGAAGCAAATGGGTATTCTTATAAAAAAAAGCTTATAAGTAGGATGTACATTCATCCTACATATAAATGAAATGCACACAATTTCAAGTAATTAAACTAAAAAGAGGTTCAATGAAATGAATTTTTAAAATTATAAAATTGAGTACCAATATGAATTAACATTTCGATCAAAAATTGACCCAGAAAGCTTTAACTTCATCTATTGTTGATTTGCTAGGAATTCGATTCAAAAACTTATACATAGTTTACACACACAATGAAAGAAGCAATTTTATTAGAACATCTAGAATTTCAAAGCCTTCGGATAGAAGTCCAAATAATGACATGTTCCACTGCTGGATTTTTATTAAAAAAAAATTTATTTTTAAATTTTAAATGGTGAAAAGCTCTAAGAATTCGTTTACACTTTTTTGAAAAATAAAAATTAACAACAACAACAAACTAAGATTGCGTGGGTATGAAAATTAATTTTGAAAAATCTATCTATAGCGCAAAAGCCATACGTTTATTGATTCACTAAATAAATTGTTTATATCAAAATACATTTCTTATAAAAAAATTATTTGATATTAGGCATTCATTCGGTTTTTAGTGTATGTATAAGTTGAACTCGTTGTTAGCAATATGTTACGATTAAACCCACAGATCTTTAGCGTGATTAAACTGTAAATAATATAGTAATATTCTTTGTTAGTTAAACTTATGTATCCTCATTCGTTGGAACTTTATAGCTTTATTATGGACATAAAATATCAAAGTAAACGTGAACTTAGTTAAAAAAATTAATTTTTTGCTGCATCTCAACCTGTAACATGAGATCTCAACATTTTTTTCTATAATGTCATGGCTGTTAAATTGATGATATTAAATATTTGCTTGGTGTTAATAATTAAAAATGCAATCACTTCAATATCGTACTCAAAGAAATTTTATTTTTTCTTAAATTCATTTTAAAAGAATTTACTGATAAATTTGTTTCGTTAAGTATTTGATTAGTAAATTATGCAAATTCATTCTATGAAAATTTTATATTATAACAATATTTTTTAGTCATTATAATTGATTCTCTTTTACATGCATAATACTATTAATTTAAGCAGTGTATATATTAAATCTAAACATATACCTACAACAAAATATTTAAGCTATACAAAATATATTAATACAAAAGTATTTAAAATGCTCTTTTCTTCAGATTTATAATTCCTAAGAACTATATAAAATAATTGAAGCAGTTCATTTAATATCTTTAAATAATTTCTGTATACAAAACAGAATCAAAAACTATTCAATACATTAGTACAATTGTATTAATAAGTACAATAATAATACAATAGTTTTAAATACTTATTGACAGAATCTACCTTGTCTGGTTGCCAGCACTTTAGACCCGTCATTGAAAAAAAAAACAGATAATTTGTTAAAAATTAACAATAAAATCACTCATCGATTAAAACCAGGTTTTTGGTAATAACTTAATAAAAAAATGAAAAACTAAATTTCTGTTCCACTTAAGGTTAGTAATAGTTTAAGAGAGTCTTGAAATTAATATATGTGTTTAATAAAAAAAAAAATAACAGCGATGTTATCAACTATATACCATTTTTCTTTTAATAAACACTGCAACTGAGATAGTGGAGATGAATTAAATGAAAAGATTTTCAAATGAAAACCACAGAATGAATTATTTCAATTCAAATTTATATTAAAAAACTAAAAACTAAGCAGATCAAATAGTGCAATATATCATAATTGGACACAATGTTGATATCAACGCATCAAGTTGTAAGGTTGTAAATGGTTTAAAACCAGTACGCTTACTAATTTGCCGTTGATAACTTCTACCTAACTTTATCATTTTATTGTTTCAGTATTTAATTATTTAATAATATAAATTATTTTATTTTTCAGTGTTTTTCTTCATTTATTTTTCCTTCCGTCAGTTATAAAAACAAAACACATACAACATGGATGCCATCAAGAAGAAGATGCAAGCGATGAAGCTTGAAAAGGATAACGCCATTGATAAGGCCGATACCTGTGAAAATCAAGCTAAAGACGCAAATGCTCGCGCCGATAAGCTCAATGAAGAATTACGTGATTTGGAAAAAAAATTGGTGCAGGTTGAGGTTGATTTAGTCGCCTCAAAAGAAGCTCTCGAAAAAGCTAACCAAGATTTAGAAGAGAAAGAAAAATTGTTGACTTCTACTGAATCTGAAGTAGCCACTTTAAACAGGAAGGTACAACAAATTGAAGAAGATTTAGAAAAATCTGAGGAACGCTCAACCACTGCCCAACAAAAATTGTTGGAAGCCACACAAGCTGCTGATGAGAACAACCGGTAATTGTAAAATTTTTATATTGAAATTAAACAAAAAAAAAAACAAATAATTTCTGTTTGGTTAGTATGTGCAAAGTATTGGAAAATCGTTCTCAACAAGATGAAGAGCGTATGGATCAATTGACTAATCAATTGAAAGAAGCTCGTATGTTGGCTGAAGATGCTGA